TTATCACTTGGGGCAAATCTGCTACAAAAGACCTCTTTAAAATGTAAAACAAATATATCAGTGTGATGGTTGGAGTTTATGTCAACTACACTCCTGGGTGAAGGGAGGATGGGAGTCCAACCTAGTAATCAGGTTTCAGCCTGATGCCACGTCCCCGGGGATGTGGCCTCTTGTACAACAGGGAGAGCAGAGCAGAGCTGAGGACTCTTGCCCCTTCACCTTCTACTGGATCTGGGTCCTGCATCTGTTTCGTTGATCTCCTGTTCTGTTGTCTGCTGTTCCTCAGATTCACTTGGCTGACCTTGGGTTAATTTAATTTACCTCTGCATCCACCAGCTTGTAGCTCTGTGGCGTCATCACCCGGTTTCAGGTTTGTCAGCTTGTGCAACTACGTAAAGTCAGGAGTAGCCTCCAACTTACATCTGCCCTACTGACTTGGAACTGAACTGGACTTACCTACTTCTACAACGGTACGGTATGAGCCATTTCTGGATACGAATCTCTATATACACAATCAAGCTTCACTAATTTTGTTTCTCTAGAGAACCCAACCTGACACAATCACTTTGAGGGCTAAGTCAAAGTATTGTCAATCTCTTCGTATGCATGTGAAAGTTAGACAATGAATAAGGAAGACCAACGAAACAATGCCTTTGAATTAAGGTGTTGGCCAAAATACCGACTATATTCTCACAGAACAGGGATGTTCCTCAGAAGCAAGGATGGTGAGACTCTCTCACATTCTTTGGAGATGCTATCAGGAGGAATCAGCCCCTGGAGGGCAGCATGCTTGGTAAAAAGCAAAGGGTCAGGGTCAGCTAAAAAGAGGACGACCCTCAATGAGAAATACAGCACGGCTGCAACAAGAGCCTCAAACACAGCGATGGTGGTGTGGACGGATGGCAGGCGACCAGGCAGCGTTTGTACTGTTGTGTATAGACAGGGTCACTCTCTTGACCCACTGGTCCCTAGCAAGAATGATAAAACTAATGTTGAACAGTCTCTAAGAAAGTCTTTTCATAAATCCCTACGTACTCCTCTTTACATTTATTACCAGGAAACTTTTGTCGTTCCTAAAGAACTCATACACCTCCTCTCTGAGGCAACAAAAACTAGAGTCCACGATTTTACTCAAAGTTAAATCGGGTGGACTTAACTTCTCTTATATATACCTATGACCGAAACTTCCTTTTACATATTCTGATCTCTTTATGTGACGTCACTTTTAACTGTTCTCTTCTAGATTCTTTCTAGATTCAAATCCTTTCTGTAAGTATGAAGCAGTATTAATTATAAACAAACATAAATAATTAAAGCATCAGCATAGTATCACTACTAAATTCCTATTTAAATTAGTGCACTGAAGACCAGGTGACTTGAAGTAAGCGAGGTAACAAAGAGTATATGTAGAAGAGTATATTATAGTCACTTAAGATACTATGTTATAGAAAAGTGACTGTGTGACTACTACGCAAAACACAGAAACATACAAAATGCAAGTGTGTACAGACTGCTTGCCACTATGTTGGCATTATATTTTAGTAAAATCAATCGACTAATAGATACTAGGCATCTACCTTGGGAGTAAGTCATAGTCCCAGAAAAAACTGAGTTTATAAAAATGTTTTTGTAAACACCTAAGAAATTAGGCGGGACTACAACCTTCCTCTTGGTCCTCCAACCACCTCCACTCATTTCTTAATGTCAGCAGTGGCAGGTGACGGACTAGGCGACGCCAGTGGGAACAACGGAAGGAAGCTCTTCACTGGGTCCCAGTGGCATGGCAGCAGGAAGAACAGGAAGGTCCCGGACACGGCAGCTGCCTCGAATAAGAGCTCCTCAGATAAAATAAAGCTGAATTTGTCAAGTTACACTTTAACAATTTCCATAAAGAGACGTGATTTGGAACTATTCCAACTTACTACTCTGAATTTTAAAATTTCATGAATAATATAGTTCAAGTACGTCCTAAGAAAATGCAGCTCTTGAAACTCCATCACTGACAACCAGCAGTCACGAGACATGAGATACATGCCTCTGCTCTGTATCCTACCAGGGCTCTCAGAAAACTTACCCAAAACAAAAACCCTTACCTTTTCATTTTTCCTCCTGCTGATGATTCTGTCTAAACCATTGAAAGCACCAGATGCAACAAATAAAATATTGGTTGTATCAACTTGTACAGTTTCTCCACGTAGCTTTCGAGAATTCTTTTCTGGAACACTGACTATCGTACCTTCTAGTAGTTTTAGTAAGCCCTAAAAAAAGAACAGATGGCTTACAGCATCACCATGTCAGTCCATTATTTACTGTACCCTACATGATGTGACCTATGGGGAAAGCCATGGCTGTAGCCAAAGGGCTTACCTAACGAAAACGCCCACGTTTCCCAAACTAACTGGAGCTAATGCATTTATCACACTGAGTCGAAACCAACCCACTGCTGTCGCTTCTGGCTCGGAGGGCTACGCCGGACGGCGGGGCAGCCCTGGAGGCTGTGCCTTCACAGAATCGCCCCGCGTATCGCTCTCCCCGGGAGTGGAGCGGCTGGCGTTTTCAAACCGCTGACTTTTGGTAAACGTTGAGCACTTTAACCACTGTGCCACCAGGGTGCCTATTTATCACATTAAGACGCCATACATTTATTTGGATTGGTTACAGGACTCCTGATGCATTACTACCCAGGAAATAGTCGCTTTAAGAATACCCATATTTTGAAATGCCTTTATAAACAAACAAACTACCACATTTCCGTGTAAGGGTGACCATACCTATGTCTGGGTCAAAAAAAGGGAAGCAATTTTCCTCACCCCATAGTGTACATTACAAGAAGCTCCCATGACAGTTAGGTTGGCCAGTAGATCATTATGACTTCAATGACAACTCTCTAAGGGATAAAACACTGTTTTATACCTATCTCAACTGGAAGGAATAAAACACCTCTATATAATTGACTCATGTCTACTTATAACCAGAACTTTCTTCACGAGTCCTCTAGAAAGGTAACTGGGCCTTTGTGGAACAAAAACAACAAAGCACGGATTTTATCGTTGCTGGTCTTCAAAACTATAAAAAATAGTTTTATTTTTCTTTCTTTAAAAATTTTATTTTTATTTATTTTAGTTTTATTTTTCTAAGGAAGGTAATTTGATATTTAAAATAGCCAACAACAACTTTTTCTTAGGATGTGAACTACTTTTAAATATGTAGGTCCAGGGTGGGAAAAATAAACAAAACAGAATCTAATTGAAGGTGAATCCAAACGTACAATATTGGGAGGTTGATGTATTCCCTTCCTGTTAGTGGGCTTGAACAAAATATTCAACTGCTTACTTGCTGAACGCCTTCTCCACCTACATCCCGTAACTGATGAATGCCTGGCACACTGCCAATCTTATCTACTTCATCCAGAAAGACAATTCCTATAATTTAAGGAGGATTCTATTTATAATGTGAAAAAGATATACACAAGATAACCTCAGCCTTAAAATACTAGGTAGCTAAGAGAGTAGTTACTTATTCAATGCTTCGTCCCTAACGAATGCCTTGATACTATGATGCAAGACTATCACTTCCATGTGTCATCTGTGCGAAGGCTTAATATTTTACATAGCATCATTTGGGCACGATAACTAACAACAGTTATCTACTCCACTAATATATTTTCAGGTGCATGATTCTAGGAAGCTGAAATAGAATCATAGTGTGGAAACAGGAAGTCTAAGCAGTGTAGGTACTAGCAAAACTTTAGGTTATTCTTCCCCACCTATGAAGGGGCTTCAAAAAGTTTTTGGGAACATTCCATTATCTTTTAATTTTTCAAACTTTTTGAAGCCCCATCATAGATTCTTGTTTGAAGGAATTTGTGGAGGAGCAGTCAGACACTGCATGTCAACAATGACAGATGTAGCTGGGGAGAGGGGAAATGCCCATCGAAACTGTATTTACACTTCTACTCTCGCGCCTACCCTTGTTCTACCGCCAGCCAGCATTGAGTCTGGAGGAGTCCAAAGAGGAAAAGCCCCGATAGGAATAAGGACCCAAGGGAAAGCACTTGGCCTTCCACCCTAGCTGCCTTCTTAGTGACAATGACACGAAGGACATTTCATGCCCCTTAATTAGTAGCTAAAAGTGAACTGCAAGGTTACTGTTATATAATTACAGAATTTTAGTCCTTGGGTCAACTGTCATCTCAATAATATACTACACATCTGGGGACAGGAAAGCTTTGCCGAAAACATACCTTGTTGTGCTTTTTCTACATTGTAATTGGCATCTTGGAGCAGTTTGGCAATCACAGACTCAATGTCTTCGCCTACGTATCCAGCCTGAGTCAA